AAAATTCAAAAAGTTTCCCATCTACCTGGATTCCCTGGATTGCTGTAGATTTGTTCTTAAAATGTGCCAGTATGAATATAGATTGGCAGATGGATAAGCAGAGAGAAAATTTTAACTTTTGTACATAGGTAATTATTTTAATTACCTATGTACAAGAGTCAATAGTATGTTCTTTTTGAATATTATTATTTTAAAAATATGATAATGAAATTGATGCATTATGAAGTAAAATATGAAGCCATTTTAATAGTTCCTCACTGTACCTGATAACTTTTGATGGCATAGATTGAGACGCTTCTTAGTATAGAACAAGATGAAACTCGATTACTTAAAAAGTAATACCAATATGAAGATACCTACTATAATATTTGTTTAGTCTACATGGAACATCTGGTATGTTTTATTTTCATGATTTTATAGCAAATGCGTTCCCAGAGAAAGCACAAATAATCTACATGCCAGAGCAAAATTACCATAAAGCATTTACTTTAAAAAATCAGGAAACATGAAATTTAATGTTTCACTTACTTTTCCCAAGAGATACCATAAGAGATAGAAAACGCCCTTTGTCTGAAGCAGAAATCTTCCATAACAATAATGAAAATACCATATTGTATTTTAATTATATGTCATCTTTATAACTTTTGGAATTAAAGAAAAATGCATCAAGCTTACAAACCCCTTGTTTATAACAGCTAAACTTTAGTTGTATTACAATTCATCTTTCCTGACATGCTCAGAGAGTTTAATAAGGAACAAAGATAACACTTAATTCAGCCCTCTTCTTTCCTGTTTCACGTAATTTGCACACATTTTATGTGCATGATTGAACTGTTTGTGCAAGGTGACATCAGAAGACAACTATTACCGGTTTTCAGCAGTGACACAGTTTCAAAGGGGTTTATAAAAATCTTAGAATACTATAATGATTTGATTCTAGGATGCATACTCATTTACATTTTAACATCTCTAATAACAGACTGTGTCTCACAATTGTTCTTCATCTGGGTTAAAGTAGCTTTCCTCCAGGAAGAATTATTTCTGACATCTTCCAGACATGTGAGACCCCACAAACCTTATAGCTTTTTAAATTAAAGCTTCTACCTGAGGTTTTGGGTCTACCCTGCCTATGTGAATTCAGAAAATAAACCTTCATTAGTACCACCTTGAGGTTCAAGGAGTGCTTTTGCCTCTTTTCCCACAGTCATGATTATGGGGGAAGCAGGCCACTTTCCTTGCTATCTTCATCTGCATGGAGTTTATTTCTCATTTAAACTATTTCTCAGTCACTCTGTGTCCCTGTTCCATGCTGGAATCCTTTAGTAGGTTACACATTTTGGGTAGTTTTTCTTTCTTAGCAGCACATAAATAGTGCTGCATTTTACATTCATTGTCATCTTAGTCTTGATGAAATTTGGTTATTTATTAAAGTTGGGGATTTCTTAATGCTGACATCAGCTCATCTATCAAATCTTAAGGCTCCTCTTTGGGCTAAGTGCTCAGATTCAGAGTTGGAAGAAGCTAAGGAACAGACCATAATAGCACTGCTGCAAACTACTAAATTTATGGCTCCATAGACCATAAAGATGGCATTGCCAAAGATACTTTATGAAATTTGGAAATGATTTTGATGCCAACCAAGACATAAATTGAGATGGGCTAGCTATGGAGATAATTTAGAAGATTAAATTCTGTGGATATTTTACTATGAGATGCTAAAAAGGAAATGTATATATGCAGAACAGCCAAGAAAACTATTAGGGAGTGAAATTCAATGATGGCATTAAACTACAAGATAGGGCATAAAATATTTCAAAGGTCCAGAAATCTAAGATGATGTTATGATTTAAAAAAAATGTACTGGGACTTATGGTGTATCTTTTTCCTTTCTGGACACATAAATCATAGTAAGGCTCATTTTGGGTTTGTAAGGAAAGAGGAATGGGAGAGAGTTTAGAGGTAAATTGACTTGGCCAGTCATTTTCTTGAATGTAAAGTTGGACAAGCTCCAACTCTGTGCATAGCAATTATTTCAGGGAAGGGAACAGACTGGAAACAACCTGAGACTTCTCTCAAGCATCCTGTTTAAGGTGTGACTGGGAAGACAAGATCTGCTAGCACACATGTATTTTTAGGGTTTGATATTAAGAGCTTTCTGGGTGAGCAGTTAGAAGTGATGGAGAAGTGTGTGCTAGGATTCAAGGGAAGTGGAGCTGGATGTTTTTCTATTTCACTAGGGCATGTTCACCACGACTGCTGCTTTGTGTGAAAGGGAGTAGAGTGCCAAATGAGTGTTACAGGTTTCATCTAAAGTGAAATTTCTTTCACCTTAATTCTGAGTTATTTTATGTACATTTTTTCTATTAAGAACCTCGGGATATGTAAAATATAGAGTGTTACAGAATGTTTACCATTACAGCTGGAAATGATCACACTGAAGTGTGTAATTTGGCTTCATGTTGCTTAGCAGCTTTCTGTGAAAACATCTCATATCTTTATATGTTTCCATATGAGCACATGTATTTTATTGAATGTGAGAAGTGACATTAGCAAGACAACATGCATGATTTAACAGGGTTGGGCTCTGGAATTTTGCCCATTTTACTCTCAAATATTGACATCAACTCTTCCAAGGTAATTCACTGATTCCCAATAGTAAGACAGCCTAGCCAAGTGGGAAGGCCTGACTTAGTTTCCAAACATTTGAAATCCACTGCAATCTATTGTGCATATGTTTTATTTTTGCTCAATTAGCAATGTTAGCTGACAAGAAATAAAAAGAATAAAGAGGCCTTCATAAAGGAATGTTTTATTGCTGCAAAGTTTCTAGGGCTATTTTATCCTTTCCCCCCATATATCACAAATATCCAAGTAGGGTTGTTTACCACAAAAAAGAAAAGAAAAACGATCCTGTAACATTAACTACAGAAATTCCCTTTTTTCTAGTATAGTGTGTATTTTGACTGAAGAACTAGGAGAAAATTCATTCATATTTTCCTTACTTGCTATATATGTACTTTTTTTTTCACTTTTCATAGACTCTGCCCATTCTAATTTCACACACACACACACACACACACACACACACAATCTTTAAAATCTGAAATACTCTCAAAAGCCCATTCAATGATTGACATTATTTTTTATCCACGGTCTCACTTTTTAAAAACAAAATCACTTTGGTCGGTTTTTCCTCTTATATATAACAGACACTCATAACTCCAATATAAATAGTATTTTAAAATACTAATTGGCCTAATAAAGATATTGTACTGATAAATATAAGGATGTATCAGTAAGACTATGTATACATATAATTTCTAACAATTTTTGAAACAGCACAGTGCTCTGAACATGATGGTATATAATCATTATTTATTAACTGGATCTCATGATGGTTCTTAAAAGATTTTATTTCTTAATATGATGGTGTTGGAGATAATAATGTATGACTCAGAACATTTTTCAATATAAATACTAGATGCTGCTTAGTTCAAATCTCTTACTGTAAAACAATAATAGTAAGGAGCTTATTTTAGCTTGAAGACTTAAGAAAACTTATTCATCTAAACTATATTTACAGAATACTTACAATAACCATGATGCTATCTCTGGGGTAGTATTACAGGTATGATCAAGAGTATAATAACAAAGTTTGTATTGATATGGAGATTAAAGTCTGATTGGAAATGAATTCTAATTTTATTCTTTTGTTTCTTTTAGTTCTAATTACTATAACTAACTCTCCAAATCTAAGCAAATAGATTATTCTCTCTAATAAATTAATATTTTATAATTTTTTATCAATTGAATGATGTTGATCATAATTCAATATTTTCACATGGAAGATCAGTGAATATTATGTTGTTCAATTGATATATGTCATTTGAAAAAAACTCGGGGAGGTGTGTCAATAAACCATAATACTCATGCAGGGACATTCATAATATTTACTTCATTTAGTGGCCTCTTTCTTGTTTATAATGAGGACAATAATAGGAAAGTCCTTGGCCATAAAGGTTTTAAATAAAAATGGGTCCTAAATATTGGCTCCATTAGTGGTCACCCTGCTTGAATATTGTCATCTCCCAAATAACCCTATGTGGAATTGTACACCAGCACATTCAAACTGTGCCAGAGGGATACCTGGAATTCAGATTTTGGAAGGTAGGCTAGGTGCAATGTATGACAGTTTTTTTCTTTTTTAACATTCATTAAACATGACTATTCTATACACCATTAGTAAGTCAAATAAGAGCTAATGAGATTAATGCAAAAGGCACCAAAATAGTATATTATGTTCAGTTAGGATCACATTTGCAAGTTAACTATTTTTTACAATGAATTGTTATAGTGATGTCATTGACAGGTTTCCCCAGCAGAGGGAAGCATAACTTCATTATTATTTTCATAAATGGTTGAGTTGGGGTGAATAAGTTAGATATTTACAAGAATGGTTGATGTTTTAACATTAAATAGGAAACTTTGACATTAAATAGGTCTTGGCATCTTTTAGGAAGTCTAAAATGAATTTGGTCCAAAATGCCCAGTTCAAGGGAATAGCCAAATATTAATTCAGTGTTGAAATTTACTTGAGTAGAACAATCAAGAATACATTGTGTCTATATCACCAGCATATAAATGAGTAATGTGCATTGCTTATTTTAAGACTATATTTCCTTCTTCAATATACTTTAATGAATCTTTTTGTTGTCCTATTCTCAGGTTGCTTCTCTACATCAAAGTACAAACTTAAATTCGATTCTTTTTGTTAGTATAAGAAAGCTAAGCTTTGAATCTCATAAGGGTCTAAAATATTGAGTTTATCATGACTGTGATTGTAAAATATAGTTTAATGCTTGTGTTCTTCAATATTTTCTTTCTGTTAGATTTTATTTCCCTTGGAAGACATGTGTACCCTGCATGGTTGTGTGTGGATATGTATTATCACATGATCTAGCCTGATATTTGCAGGTTTAAAGTTAAAAAAGATGACTTACCATGGTGTTGTAAGTCTGAACAGTGAGTCAGTGGGTCTCCATTTCTTATATCTTGTCGTCTTGTGCGTCTAGAACAATTACATTTAAAATGTATTATTGTATATCTACTTTACCCTCTTAGGAATTTGTCATAAGAATGAAGAAGAAACAAAATCCACATAAAACACTCCAGGAACTTATAAGAAGAGATGTGTTTACATCCAAACAAAATTTTTCAAAAGCAGTTCAGTATACCTAAAAAGAGAAGTCTCCAAGACCAAAAACTTCAAAGTGGGAACAAGTAGACAAATATACCAACATGGTATTAGGTACCTTTTGAACTATCTACAACAAAGAATTTATGGCTCTTTGATAACAGGTATTAATAACAGTCAAATATCTAAAAAATCGAAGGGGGGAATATTCCACAAAATTTGGAATCACAACCCATTATTTCAGGAAACAGAATGAAACTCTGATCATTAATGTGGGAGTGAGGTTGAAAATTAAAATTCCCCTGAATGGTATCTTTTTCTTAATGCTTATACAAAGTTGCTTAAATAGACATCTTTGAAATTTTATTAAGCCTAGGAATTATTTTTGAAGTTAGATTTTTTAGGTTATTTTGTTCACATTTAAAAAATGGTTTATTTAATTATCTTATGGTTATGATTGCAAACCAATTGACCAGCAATGTGAATAAAATGAAAAAGGCAAAAATAAATGTAGATGGGGTAAAACTGGGAGTTCATAACCCACTACAATCTAATGTATGAAATATGATATGTGAAGAGCTTTGTAATGTTGTGAACAACCAATAAAAAAATAAAAAAATAAAAATAAATGTAGAACTTAAGAGCAAGACCTCCTTTTGCCAGAGTAAGTGAGAAAGGAGAGGCGAACTAATTTCTAAGGGAAAAACCAAATTTGTTTTTAAACATCAAAGTTAATTTTTTATACTCTATGGCTCAAATTGCATTTCAGGTTCCAAACAGTCTGGGCATCCTTTCTCTATACTTTGCTAGTGGGTGGAAAGAAGGAGGGGCCTTAAGCTATTACTACAGAGAAAGATGGGAAGTTTGAAGAACAGACTAAGTATGGAGAACAGTGGTGGGGAACAGACTGAAAAGATTGGGCACACTTGACTATTTTCTGCAGCTATTTTAACGGGTATTGTCTGGCTGCAAATTAGTTATCATCCCTGAAAAAAGCTTTCACAAAGGCCATTGAGAATTGCAAATATGGAATTTGTTACTGTATTCATAAATTTAGAAGTCTAAAGTATTTATAGATTTCTATTTGTAGAATTAGTGAGACTATCAAACAGATGTTGCACATTTCAAAATCGAGCCAAGAGAACTTGTGAAACATGAATCAAAAAGCATTTGGGAAGGCATTTTTCACTGCCATTTAACTTTTTGAAAAATGCCATCACAAAGAATATATAAGTTGTAAGGCCTCTAAACATCCTTTTCAAAGACATGTAGTGTCAGACCCATGAAATTGGATTAAGTAAAATCTGTAAGGCATAACAAAACAGTGTTAATAAGAATTCCTTGGATCCTGAAGTGTAAGTGTAAAATAAACACTTCCAAATATATAATGCACAGGTTTTAACTTATATAGAAGTGGTTATGGTTTTCTTTTTTTCCCCTTCCTTATTAAGAAAAGCTTAAAATTCAAATGGATTATTACTAAATTAAGCAACGTTATTCACATTCACTTGGAAAGGAAGCAATATTCATTTGCAGTTCAAACATAAATCTCACATTTTTTAACATAAAAGTCTCCTAGAGCTAAATGTTTTTAAGAAAAAAATCATTCTAATTTTAAATAATTTATTATTATTACTGTAAAGACAGCATGTTGTTATTTATTTTAACTACCCTTGGTACATTCTATCAGTCTATATTATTTTCACTCTAAGCCTTTTTTAAATTTAAAATTCCAACAAAATCAATATAGATACTAATGTAATACAAATATATCATCAACTCAATTTTGAATATTGAAGGCTTAAGATATTTGCATTTTTAATCCATTCTGAGTTATTACTATATTTGCTTATAGGGTTAACATGATACTGTGTTCTAATCCATACAATTATATGAAAGACTTAGATTGTAGATGATTTAATACTCAGTCAATGCTACCTAAATTTGGAATAAAAAATTTTGTGCAACATGGGGGCCTTTTCCTTTTCCTAACATTTTTCCCACACATTTAAAATGACTCAAAGGTTGCAGAACTTATCTCACTAGCTATGGAAAAAAAATCATATTCATAGCTTATTTGAAATTTTAGCTATAATTTAAAAATAAACAAAACAAATTATATTGCTTCTAAAATGCAGTAACTTGGTGACACTGGTTTTCATGTTTCAAAAGGTTGATGTGCCATCAATCATTAGGGCCATATTAACAAGCTGCTGTATATTACTTTCATCTATCATTGCTTGTTTCATAAGCAGTAGATATCAATAGAGAAAGGTAACCATCAGTGAATTGCAGAGGATGTACTGAAGTGGCTTTTTGTCAAATGAAGAAAGTGTTTTTATTTTTTAAAGTATAAGTAAACTGATTTGTCAACAACTTCTAGGATTTGTCTATGAGTTCTCTGTAGTAAAATCACATTTCCTGGAAATAAAACTGTCTTTAAAGATCCAATGTCTGTTCCTAATGCATTCAATCTTGTATGCAGTAACTCACAGTTATGTATCATCTTAATGTAGTATTGTAGATAACTCTCTAAGTATATCTTAGTAACATTCAAGTTCAAGCATGCCCCCTCTCAAATACTTCCAAGTATCATTAAGAATATATATCATTTATAATATATATACTATATCTGTATATATATATATATATATATATATATATATATATACTACATATATACAGACAGATAGATGGTTGTTTTATTATAGTTTTATATTTAAAGTTTTAACTCTGTAAATACAACATGATACAATAATAATACAGAGGCATTTAGATTTCCTTGAGTTAAATAAAGAGATATGCTGGATGCTAGTTAATCAACACTTATACCACACCACATACAAATACGACTTTTTCTATTATTAGAAAAAAATTAGCCTTGATTTTTTAATGATTGAGTCCTGGTGTTCTCCCTAAGACTCCAAAGGTAAATGAATTTCTTTCTGTAAGAATTTTTTGTCCATCCAGGGAAATAAATTCTCTTATTAAAACGTAAAAACAGAATAGAATGTTTCTAAGGAGAATAAAAGAAATAAATTTTGTTGAACAAAAAAGCCTCTTGCTCGAAGACACAAGGCCTATTCTAGATCCTGTTCATAACTTTCTGTGACTTTGACCCTAAATTTCCCACTGTGTAAAATAAAATTGCAAAATTATAATTTCCAACTGTAAAAATTTAGGAAAAGTATTGTACTGTCCTAAACTTTCCCCAATCATTTAAAAAAGCCAGTTGTTCCATTGCATTTAGTACCCAACTTTCCTACTACACATTTTTTCTGGATGTTTTCACTATTTTAAGGAAAGGGGAAAAATTAAAAAAAAAAAAAAATGGAAAGAAGCAAACCCAGTTCCAGCCCAAACCTCTTTTATTCATCAGAAAAGGGTGGTCTTCTTATTTTAAGAAAGCTCTTCTAGAAATAGAATCAAACAAGGAAACTAGCAAACATTTTATTTTTCATTCCTACCTCTTTGCAGTAGGAAAATAGCGAGAGCATGAGGAACCATCCCAGGCACAATACGGGTCTCGAGCCAGGCAGCACTCCGCACAAGCTTTCCCATAAATATCACATCGGTGCAGAGGGAGTTGGGCCACCCCAGCAGTGGAACCAACATATAGCTGTTGCTGTGAAAAGAGTTTACCAAAACTACTTTGATTTTCAAACCTCCTTTTTCTTAATAGAAAGTTTATTTATTGACATCATCAACACTTAACAACAATAAATGATATCTGTAGGTATAAAAACAAACCACACTGTTAATAGTTTCTTTGAAGGCTTAGCAGATAACAGGAGAGTTTAAAATGGAGCAAGAGCAAATTTTAAGTATTTGATTGAAACAGGTGTTTTTCTAAATATAAAAGAAAGATAAAGTTATCTGTACACCAAGCAAAATGATGTTCAAACATTGAGTTTTTATCCTTAACATTTTTTTTCTCTTTTCCCTTCCAGTTTATACTTTTGTTTGACCAAAGTATCTCTTTGGCTATGTGCTCCAGATGAGCTGGAGGCAGACATCTGATTCTGACTCCTGGGTGCCCTATTACATCACCTGTGATGTACCATTTCCTCCTATGAGAGTGAAAGGGAGATGTTTAGGTATTTACATTTGAAAAGAACTTTGGACTTAACTGTCTTGCTTTTGCACTGCCTCCAAGAAGATTATTTTAAGCAGCACTACTAAATCATTTTCCATTCAAAAGATCATCAAAGGGGAAGAGAGTGAACTCTGATGCAATCTACCAAACTAAAAGCACTGAATTGGGCATTGAAGAGCCCGGGTGCTCAGTCTAGCCTTGTTAACTCTGTGTGATCATGGAACATTCACATAATTTTTGTAGGAATTACCTTCCTTATCTGTAAAATAAGCATGTTTCACAGATATTTAAAGTGAGCATCCAGATGACATTTCACAACACTATCACCTTCAATGAAAATGGATTTATTGAATGAGGCAGAATAGGGACAAGTAAAAAACCCCAAAATTCTAGCAGCTACTATTTCAAGATTTCAGAACAACTTTAAAAATGCCTTGAAAAAAGTTGAGTGAATGTAACATGTCAGCTGCAAACTTATATAAACACAAAATGAAACAAAAATAAAATTATTTTGTGATTTATCCAACATGTACTTTAATTAGTACCATAGGTCTTTTTTCCTTGCACTAGAGGATTGATTGATTGTAGCAAACCTTAAATAAAAGTTATCTAATTGCTAAAACATGTAGTAAATCACAGGCGAAAGACTTCAAAATTTTATCTTAATTTCTCCAGTATGGAGATGAACAATAAGATTCAGAAAAGTCACACTTTGAACAATGGTGTTCTCTTTTAACATTATAAAGTATCTAATAGTCATAAATGGACACAATTAAAACTGTATTTCCAAAGACTTTCATTTATGGACAATATATATCAATAAACAGATAAATTGAATGCAGAGTGAAGTACTATTATCATTTAAGAAATCAGTAAAGTTATAAGGAATGTTTATGTAGAAAATAATTCAGTGCTAAAATCTAAACAACATACTTATATCTTGAGATAAGAAAGGAAAATAAGAGGGAAAAAGTAATACAATTCAACAGTTATGGTTTGGATCTGGAATGTCCCCCAAAGCCTCATATATTGGAAGGTCGGGTGCCCAATGTAGCATGTTCAGAGGGAGGGCTTTGGGAAGGTAATTAGGTCAAGAGGGCTCTGACCTCATAAGCAGCTTAATCCTCTGATGGATTCATAAATTGACAGCATTATTAGAAGTGGCAGAAACTATAGGAGGTGGGGCCTGGTTGGTAGGTCACTGGGGTCATGCTCAGGAGGGGTATATCTTGGTCCTGGTCCCTTTTCCCCACGACCCCTACACTGTGTGTTTGTGGGTTGGGGGGGGGGAACTTCCTGGTTGTCATGAGGTAAACAGCTCTGTTCCCACTCTCTCTGCGTCACCACAGTGTTGGGAATCAGGTACTATGGACTGAAACCTCTGAAGCTGAGGAAATAAATATCTGCTCCTGTTAGTGTCTTTTCTCAGGTATTCTGCCACAGTGATGAAATGCTGACTATGAAATGCTGACACAATATGAGGAAGCATTTATTCTGGTAAATATTGCTATTTGATTCCACTAAACAGAAAACATAAAAATATCATGTGTATTATTATCTGCTCAACTTTGTACTATAATTCAACTTTATTCTTACATTCAATTTTAGTATTATATTGAATGATACTAAAACCCAGGACAAATTAAGAAATGATGGTGAAATCCCTGGGAGGAAATGGCAAATAGTATCTTTACCCTCTTACCCTTTATTTCTTTTTCCAGTAGCCTCCTTATCCTTTTAAAATGAATTTAGAGTCAATGGAATCAAAGAAATTTAAATGCTATTTAAAAATAAATGAATATTTAAACAAACAATGGAATTACTTAAGAGTGTTGTAGCAAAGTCCAACAGAATCATGGTTGGCAACAGTGAATACAGACAAGCTAATTCACATATTGTAATCATGACTATTTTAAAATTCTACTAACCAAATTGGTCAGACAATCAAAAGATCTCTATGTTTGTCCAATAACTTTTAAGAAACCTAAACAAAATAAATACATATAGATGTATGACATTTGAGTAGGAAAATAATTATCTAAATAAAACATTTAAATGTCATATCCCTTTAGAAGAAAAACAGAAATAATGTATGGGAAGAATACATTGTAGTATATTTACACATAGTACATGTGACCATTGAAGTTATTGTGTTGAAAATCTAAAGTGTGATTAAATGCCAAAAGTTAAATGCAACTGTCATTTTTATTTTGTCATAATTATTCAGGATTATTAATGATCTACTAAAATAATTATGCTATCCAAATGAAATATAGAGGAGGCTTGCAGGCCTCACTGAACACAATCCAGTCACTAGCAAGGAAACTGATGTGCTTTTTCTGCCCAATTTAACATCTCCACAGGCGTTTCACTATCCTCCTTAACAAGTTGTGGGCCATAGGCAGGATGGGAGCCCGTTTATCCAGAAAATTAGTGATAACACTACTTGTCACTCTTGAAACAACTGCCTTATTTTAAGAATGCCTGCAAGAATATATAAAAAAAAAAGAAAAAAAAGGAAAAAACAACAACAACAACAACAAAAGATCATTTTGAAAAGAAATGGGTTATATTTTTACAAAGCATAATAATAATGTTTTAATAAGGTTATATTTCTGAATACATATTTTTATGTCTGAAAAACATTGATTCTTAACACTTGCTTCAAAGAAAAAATAATTATTCTCTTAAAAAAAAAAGAATGTGTGAAATCAAGTCAGGGCTGAATGAAATCAAACTTCCTTCCAGAAATGAAAAATGTATGTCAGGGACACTTTCTTCTCTCATGATATTTTAAATTGTGAAGTTTTTGGTTTGTTGGTAAAATACTGCATTGGTTTGCACTCTTTAAGATAGTTTTAACAAATTTAAAACAGAAAGGAGTATTTTACAAAGCTAGATGTTGAGGTAATGCAGTTAGGATTCGCTGCCATAAAAAAATAGTTTTAAAAATCATTACAGGAAAGAGGATCCCAGTCTAGCTTCCATCCTGGAAATCCCCAGATTTCCTTGCCAACATGTGACAATTTTTAGATTACAAGAACAGGTGAACACATACTTATGAAGTGTGAGATAACAGTATCAGGTCAATAATATCTGCACTCCGGGTTGTTTTAAATACCTTGGAGATTATCAATCTATTTTGATATGTCTAGTGGAAAGACATATCAAAATAGAAAAATACACTGAATTTCATTGGCTCAGTAATTTAGTGTTTTATTCAAGGGATAAAGCATGGTCATAGACAAGACCTGTAAAAGACTTACAAATAAGATTAGCCAAGGGAAGGAGTAGGGAGAACATAAGGGAGAAAGAGTGGAATGAATCTGACCTAATTTTTCGGTACATATTTGAATATAGTACAATGAATCTCACCATTATGTATTTCCAGAAGACTTTAATTTAAAAAAAATGTAAGTAAATAGCAGAATTATTGTTAGAGAAAAGAGAACGGGGGAGGGAACGGAGAATGCGTTGGGCTAAGTACTGTGTGCTGAATTGGAGCAAATCATATTCTATGTATTTATTTCATATTAACCAAGTGATTCTCATAATTTACATTTTCATGCATGTTTTTACTATAGTAAGGGGCTTCTTATTTCACTCTGGCTTTTTCTGCTTACTTATTTAATCATTAATTTCAACTTAGTATCCAAACCTTTTGTAAATTTATCATTAATGTACTGAATTAAACACTGGTAACATTTATGAGGAAAAGATAATTAGAAGTTAAACCTATACTTGTGCTGTTCATATCATTTAATATTTAGAAGTCTTTTGCTTTTCTTAAGTATCTTACCAGAACATTTATTTGATATGAATGGAAACACTATTAACATGCTGCCCTTAACCTTTGAATTCATGCAGTTTTAGAATTTGTCATTTGGTAGTGACAATTTTTCTGTTTAGCCAAATTTAAAGTCACATTTTATTTTCTTGAGCACATGATCCTAGTAAAAAGGAAAAGATCTGCCAAAAATGTATAGCCAGTGATTAATTTTGTTAGCCTATAAAGCACATTTTGTTTGCATTTTCAAAATAAAATTAAGTTGTAAACATTATTCTGAAATATCTACTCATATTACTTTTAAAGTATGAATATATTCATAAAAATGAGAATCATTACTGAATATCATGTAAATTATATTTTAATGACAATGAAGAATTGGTATATTTCAACATTTATAACAAATAATGATTCAGGAAATACATTTTAAGACACAGATGAGACTGGTCAAAAACAAGGACAATGAAAACAACCTTTAATTTTCATTCTACTAAATTATTTTTAGGAATAGTATTTCTTTGCTCTTGGCTCCTTATAAAATTGTTAATCAATCTATAAAATTTGATGAACAATAGAGAAATCTATACATTTTAAATACAAACTTAACAAAATATAATGTTGATAGTAATACATTATGACTTACCTGCTTAGTGGAAAGCTCCATTGCTGAAATAGTAGTTGGTTCCTAAAGAAGAAAAAATTTAAAATGGTCAATTAGAAAAGTCAGTCATTAATCAAAACAAGGCATCAATACATAAGGTTTCAGAGATATAACTTTGATTCTTACAAGGAACAATATAGTTGGGAAATAAGACCCATGAAAGAAACTACATAGGTAAATGTCAAATATGTGGAATAGACAGTAAAATTATGTCAATATCATTCAGTTCAGTTAAAGGTCATGAGCAACATACCTGCAGTTGACCAAGTTGGGTTTACTGCTCTTTGCAGTAAGAAAGAAAATGGAAAGGACTTTTTTATATGGGTTTGTGTTACGTGATTGGGGAAGGGTTTTAAAAAAATAGGGCTTTGCTTGACTTTGGTCACTGTCTAAAAGTGGGGGTAATTCTATGGTTAGGTATATTCATAAGTCATTTTGAAGGAGAGAACAGAACAAGGCTAAAGCTATTACTGGTTTACTTGTGTTAGGCAAAATGAGGGATATTTGGTTATTTTTGTGGTTTAGATAATGTTCATGTCTTGATCTGTGTTCAGACATGATTACAGAATAGTCTTGCTTCTATCTTAATTCATCACTTCAAATTGGCCCTCTCTGACAGTGGTCTTCTGTGAAAATTTTATTTTCAACTGGAGAATAGTATAGCGTGGCTGAATGTGCTAGGTTGGCTCCTAACAGCACCAATGAAAGCTAACAATAAATACCAGGCAGGGTTCCAGCTGTCAAGGACTGCAAGAGCTCAGTTGAAATGACATGACTTTATTATTATTAAAATGTCTGTTTAATGTGCAAAGACCTATACTTCAGGTTTTTGCCACAGAATATAATCTCCTTAATGCCTATCAACGGGCTAACAAAGAGCAACATAAGTAATAACAAGGAAACTAACAATTATCAATGCACTTGTTAAGTGTTCTAACTGGAATTTATTGTGAATGTATATACTTGTACAAACAAAACCTGTTCCTTGATGCACATAGCACCAAAAGGTTGTATGTTCAGGTTGAACATATAACCTTGTATTTCTAGACTCACTCTCATTGAACATACCATATCTGCTTCAAGGACTAACACAATGGGAAGAGGAACATGCTTCTGGGTTTCAGAAGTGACTGATGAGAAAGATACTTAGTTGGAAAGGATGATCTTAAAAGGCCTCATTGTGTGAGGTAACTGAAGCTAATCCCAGAAGAAAATATATAGAGTTGGACACTGAAACCAAACAGCATGGACTCAAATTGTGACTCATGACTGACCAGAAGTGTGATGTTGGCTAGGAATGTAAATTCTTCATAATTCAGTTTTCTTCTATGAAAAATGAGTATGGTGGTGTTTTCCTCATAGGGTTCTTGAAGAGACTAATAAGTTCACACATGTAAAGGACTTCATAATTTCATTTGATGAATGGTGTTTTACCAAATCTCTTCTTTCATCTCTGTCTCTGTCTCTCTTTCTGTCTCTAACACACACACACACCACCACCACCACCACCACTACCTCCTTGTCTTGCTTTTCTCCTTAATGCTTATCACTATCTGTATATATGTATGCATATGTGTGTGAGTGTATTTTCCTGTGGATCCTCACTTCCTCCTTCTTGAGCTTACCACATACTGTGCTTTGGGGTGGGTTAGAAAAACTCACAATTTCATCCCATCCCAAAGCTAAGTCTGAGGTAAAACCAAGAGTGTGGGGCTGAGGATTGACAGGGAGATGTAAAAGTCAATAAAGTGTTTTGTTGTAGAAATTACCATTGAGAGGAAATCTGAGTGTAGTAGATGATGATTCACAAAATTGTCCATTGAGATTTGTACCAAGAAAAGTATTTTTCATTTCATTACTTATTGGAGCCTTGCAGAGGTGCAAAATCTCCTATGTACCCAGGTATAAATCTTGCTTACATTTTGGCATTCTGTCAGTAAAGTTCTGCAGCACAAAGTGAAAGACTCACAGCAGGAATTAGAGTCAAGGCTGACAGGACATGAGGAGGGCAGCAGCCATCTTCTATCACTTGTTAATTGTACCCTCAATTTGAGACAGGGATTTTGGCTGATTAGCTACCATACCCCTAGAACCTAAAATTTCACCTAACATTTACAGTTTTCAATAAAAACTTGTTGAATGAATGAATGGATTCTCTATTAATTTCCCCCTTTCTCCCCTACTTATTTCTTCAACTTACTCCCCTATATTCTTATCATTTGGATGCAAATAAAATAAAGGTAGCCATCTTATAAAATGTCTTTCCTTGATTCTTCTACCTTAGCTTGAGTTTCTTTACAAATAATCTAAGTAGTATATTCTTGCTGTCTTTACTTGTACTTCGGTCATGCACCTATCAACCTTCTAAATCTGTTCCTCCTCTGGAGAGGCAGTCTACTATCCTCAGAAGCAGAAATCACCAATGAACCCTGTATTGTTGAAGGAACACTTTCAGGATTGCAATGTTATTATTGGAATTCCCTATTTGATGGGCACTATTGATAATTCTTCTCAATTACTTCTTCTACTAAATTCCAATATGCCTTAGGATTCTTCATTGGTTATTTCTGTTAGCTCTTGTCACAGTCTTCATCCCATCCTGCAACTATCTCTAAAGTGTTCGCCCTGTTTTCCACTCCTTTCTACTCTCCCTTGGATGTTTCCTTCTTTCTTCAAGTACATTAAATGCAGTAGTGCTAAGTACCTCCATGTACTATAGAATTACAAATGTCCACATCAAACTTGATGACTGAACTGAGAACAAAATTTCCGAACAGTTTTAGGATAAACTGCCTAAGATGCAAATGAGACAAATGATTTACAATATTCATTAATTTAATAGAATAATTTAGAGATTCCTGTTAAGCTTCCATTTTCATGACTTAAATGAATAATAGTAACTATTAAATATAATAATTTTCCTTAGAAATTATCAATCATTCTTACCAATTTTATCAATGTGGAGATATGATTTTAGCAATCAGTAGCATCACATTACAAAAGTATGAGAAAATTCATCACAAATACTCTGATTTAAAAGATGAAGCTGGAGATATATTTAAGTTTGTATCATACCGGAATAAATGAACCAAAATGGAAAATTTAGAAGAATTAGGAAAACTTTGCATAGCAATTCCTTCTATTCCAACAGTTTCACATGAAAAATAGTTTTGTGGTTATATAAGCAACTGACTTCATGCAGGTTTTCATGGAAGAAATTTTACAGTCAATGTGCAAAGAAAATGATGCTTAGGCAGAGAAAAATTAACAGTAGTGTAACTGAAGTGAAAGTTAGCTATGTCTAAATTCTTTGCAAAAATGAAGCTGATTAATATTCATATGTTTCATGTTCATTGGCAAACATCTATAAGGCAGATGAAAATGAATTATTTCACATATAAATTGCAAAACATGAAACAAACCCTAACACCCACCAGACTCGTGCCATATTATGTTTTAGCATTCTTAAATTAAGATCCTAGAATCCCTTAATTAATAGAACATTATTTATTATTTAGACCAGGAAATAAATTACAATTTAGAATAATATGTGTTATATATTGCTTGTGGTTGAATTTTAATAGACAATACATTAAGATGACATCCATTTAAATAAACTATTTTTTTCTGAGAAATAGCTGTTGGTGAATATGACTTCCATTTAAAACAGATGTAGCTTCATAAGCATTTTTTCATGAAACTGGTTTCAGTTGCAAATTTAATTGGTGTTCAAGTAAAAATGAAATTAAAAACTTAGCATCATTTCAAGATTTTCTATGACTACAATTTACCATATTTTTTCCAGATATTTTAATCTCATTCTTATTAAACTTTTGCACTTGCAAAGCTTTTCAACCTGCTGATCCCAGGAGATTCTGACATAGCTCACTGGATGCTAAGCACGTGGACAGTCTTTTAGAATGAGTTAATAGGCTAGGTTTTGGAAAGCATCAATTATGTTTTACATTTGAATGAAAATTAAACTCTTTCATTTGTTTGCTCAGCTGTTCATGGAATATTGCATAAATTGGGCTTAAAATGCATGTGTTATTGATGTAACCGCCTTGCAATCCTTTGCAGTCAAAAGACTATAAATAAAGTCCATTGTCCTATGTGCTCTGCAATTCCATGTGACACTTCACTGTCTCAAAAATAAGACTCTCTTGGTCTGAATTGGAAAGAATATCCCATGCTTAAAAATAAGTAAAAATCATTGTATGTTTGGCTTTTGATTCTTCTGAACATTTTTTAAAAATAAGATACAGATAAGACAATTTCAAGAATTTTACACCTATAACTAGTTCACAATAGCTTAATATTAATATTTAATATTTTTTATATCAAGCTTAATATATATATTAAGCTTGATATAAAAAATTAAAAAAAGTTTTTGTAATCAGAATATTCATTATGAGAGGAAATTGAGGCTAACTTTAACTAGCTTTTTCAGAATGAATAGTTAATATGATCTAAATTCATATTTATCATGGCAGATCATATTTAGAATTTGGTGGTGTCTTACTACATTAATTCCATTTCAAATACTTAATTGTGAATCAGTAATTTCTTGACTCCTATACAAATGCCAATTTTATTTCACCTCTTATTACTTGTTAAAATTTTTACTCTAAAATGGAAATTTTTATTACCAAGGATTGTTTTTCTTTCTAGAGTCTGAATGGGACTTGATTCCACCCAGAATAAAGGTATCTTGAATATAATAAAAACCATTGGAATGTTCTATGATTAGTTGGGGTGTTTTCTTAAAACCAGTCTCAGGATGGCAGTGGGCACCGTACTGGTTTTATTCCAAGAATTTGTATGAGGTTTGGTTATTCAGTCCAGTAAGCACACATAATGAACATGGTTTCATAGAACTGTAATATGGTAAAATTAACTGGTTGGTTAACATTAAATGTGCTTGTGTGTGTGTGTGTGTGTGTGTGTGTGTAAATCCAAGTGTATCAGGCATAAACATGACCCTCACTCAGTACCTTGTCTATTTATCTTGTCATGCTCTCAGAATGCTCACATCAACCTTCTTTTACTA